GATGCATGGAAGACCAAGCTAGCTGGTAGCTCTTGTGTATTCTGTATGATGTAACAAATGCTTTGATGAGTGTGATGAATGAACGCCACCCTTTGGACTTCATAACATTAACTTTTCACTGGTGCAACACATTTTGTACATGTATGCACACAGGCTAGCTAAGCATGAGCAGGCTAAAAAAGAGTAGCTAATTACATGCAAGTCAGCAGCCCTGTATTTCCATCCACGCTCTCTGTAACACCTCCAGCAAGATGACAGCAAGTTGGCAAGCCCTGCAGCTGGAGGCTCTCTCCCTCTCTCTTCTCCATCCTGCCTTCCTCCCAGGATTCCCTTTGTTAGATTACACACTTCAATGTTCAGACTGCCACTTTCCCAAAATGCCATCCAAGCTGCTGTGGTTTTGGGGCATGACTGCGACAGCTGAGATGCACAGGCTACAGGCTATAGGGTTGGATGTTACAGTGTGGGTGTTTGTTTCCGATATTGCTGGAAATGTTACGAACCACCCAATGACAAGTTACTCTGCTGCAGTTGTACCTTTGCCAAGGCTGAGCATATTAACACTGAAAGAAAGTGTGGATTTACTGTTTTGATGACTCATGATGAGTCACCTCATATGTATAGACATTAAAATTGAACCAATATGACCTCTCTGAATGTAAAATTAAAAAAAGAATGACTATTAGGCTACACGGGGGTCAGGAGGACTAATCATAAGGTCAAAGCAAACAGAAAAAGGGTGGCAGTCACATCTTTTGGCAGATGTCCTGCTGGTGATATAAAACCCCTGGTAAGTAGGAGGGAGAAGACAGGAAAAGGCCTGGATGAATCACACACATGCACAGTTTATGAGGTAGCTGCATCTTCTTCATGAGTCATGTTTATCAGCACTAGGTAGGGACTGCACAACTTTCTCCTCATTATGAATGTTGCCTTAGTGCAAACATTGTCCCGATGACGGAAAACAAGTGTTCTAATGCTTCTAAAAACTCCCAGTGATGGTGGCACACAACCCTTAGACTGAAGTCAGTGGCACCGGCTGGGAGGCTGCAGCACCAATAACCTGCCAGAAGATATGTGGACACTTTAGTCATCACCTAAAACGGATCATTATATTTACTGTATGCTGCATTCAAATATAAGAGTCAAAGTACAGCATCTTCTGGTTTGTGAGCCTGCAAGCCTGTGCATCCTTTTCACTGTAGGAACACTGCAAGAAAATATGGAAACATTTAAGGCCACCGTCCCTAAATCCCTCGCTCTTCATTAGAATAGCTTCCCAAGGAAGGTCACACTAATGTTTTAATTAACAATACATCAACCGAGCGCCTTTTTTATAACCAAGGCAGAGCGATAAAGTGTAATACTCCACATAAAACAGAGTTATGGCTCACACTGTAAACATTAAAGCTACGATGGCGGGAACACTCCGGTCCACCTTAAAAACTAAAACCCATCAGTGGACAGCGCCGTGGTGCTGAAACAGCTCCGAGCTACATCTGTACGCAAGAAGAACGAGGAGTGGGTTCGAGGGGGCAGGGGTGGGTGAGAACAGGATCTACCGAGACTTTATTGTTGAAATCACACACACTCCGCGTGCGCCATCGCCACAAAGGACACCTTTAGTGATCTTTCCAGTGTCATATTGTGTGATTTCGGTGACGCTCGTGGGGAAAGGTTAAGCAGTTTGGCGTAGTTTTTACGTAAAAATGGCGCCCGTTCCTGTTAACCCAGCCCATTATAGTAGGCTAAAGCTATAGCTACAACAAAGTGGGGGTGGGGGGTACGAGGTTGGAGCGCATGCCACATTATACAACGATACTCAGCCATTAAATATTTACTAAATGGGGAGTCCGGAGGTGATAAGCACGTGAGCAAAAGAGTCATCTCACTTAGGTCCCAAAGGATAGTAGTCGACTATTACAGCTATAGCTTGGATGTCAAGAGGCAACATGACCCACCACTATCTCAGACGATCAGTGCTAATAACAAATCACCAACCCAGCACCTTATTCCCCAACAGACAACAATTCCCACTATCTCCACCTTTTTCTTACTTTAACATTGACTGTTCCTTCGCTTCCTCCTTCCTCTGTCGGTCCATGACGCCGAGGATGATCTTCCTCTCCTCCTCGGTAAGGTGGCTGAGGTCCGGCATCTCCGGCATGGCGCCGGCCGCTGGGGCAGCAGCAGCAGCAGCAGCAGGGCCAGGGCCGCCCCTTGGCCCGTGTGCAGCAGACATCTTTTTATACACAGACTAAAAAACGAGAAAAGCACTATCAACCGGCGGCATTCTGGGCTTTTGCACGCGTGTGTGTGTGGGTTACATTTCATGCCTTCAAAATTCAAATTGGCGGTTGGGGTTGGATGCACCGCGGCTTACACACAGCATGACATCTTGGTTAGGAGTATCAGACACATTATTGCATTGGGCAGTGGGAATAAGCGTCAAAATATTAATTACAAGCTTCAACCTCAACTACTAAATGCTCATTATAGGGTTGTCAAATACGCTGCAGCCGACTGAGCACTGCCAGCAGCCTGGGAATTCACAATCTACTCTAGCTGTTGCAGGTTGGATCACACAACTTACACATGAACATTTATGAACTAGAAAACACTCAACGTTAGATAAGAGATGTCCTTAAAAGAAGCAAGAGTGCACTGGCTGTAGGATACAGCCTTCAGGTATTCCAAACACAAGTCTCCATCCATCCGGGGATTTAAAAAAGGTAGAAAAAATACAAAAGATAAAAAACAACTCTTGCCTTTTATTTTGCAGTCATATTAAATCCTGTCTAACCCATCGCTGCCATCCTGTAGAAATGCTTCTCTGGCATGGTGGAATAAAAGAGGCCCTGGCCGTCCTTGTTTGTTTTCTTCTGGGGTCCTTAACCCTCCTCTGCCACTCGATCTGGGTAGGTGGCTTTACTCCAGGTTGGTAATTCTTGGTGATTTCTTAAATGCACAAAAATGGATGCAATGGAAGTGAGTGAGAGAGAGGGAGGGATATAGAGACAGAGAGAGTCTGTGCGTGAGTGTGAGAGAGAGAGCAGGGGGGAAAAAATTAAAATTGGAGGTAGAGGCGGGGCCAGGGAGACACGTAGAAGAATAAAAAAAAGCTGGATGTTCATTGACAGAAGACAGATAGCAGCTCCAAAAACACGGACTGGAGGGTCTGAGTGGGAGCAGCACAGGACCGGCATCATGCATATTTTATAACCAGATCATGAGAACGGTGCCAGGAGCAAATGTGAAGTGGAAAGATAAATACAGAATAGTGACAACGCCTGATACTTCAGGTGTGGCAGTACAGTAGCTCTGGTCAGTGCTGTTTTTAATGCACATTTACTGTACACACAGGCTCTGATGCCACCTGATGCTATGACAAATACAAGACAACTACACGCTCAGTGCCGAAGGCTGCAGTGATGCACTTCACTGTGAAACCAGTCTTTTTTAAAACTGAATTTTACAGTTTGAAAGCTATTTTTAGGTTAAAATGGGTTAAAAAAAACTGGATCCAACTTCTTTAGTGTTAATAGTTTTTGATTTTCTTAAATGAAATGAATTTCTTTGGGGTTTGAATTGTTAAAGACAGTGCATATTGCGTCACACTGTGACTTCACCATGAAGTTCTTATCAACCCTCTTGCGAATCCTTTCTATAGCCGTTCTCGTTAGGTGATTTCTCAGCCCTCTCTCTCAGGCTGCAGTGTTGACAGGATTTGAAAGACAACATTAAGAGGATAGAGCCTCTACCTCATTAGGGCTGAAAGTCTGCTAGCACCTACACAATGATCTGCTGTCACATTTCAGAGCACAAGAGGAAGATTGATGTTATGGTTGAATTCTGAATGATTCACACTGCAATTTCTTTCAAACCCCACTTTCAGAGCAACACGTTAGCTGAGGTTTATTATACAATAAATACACATCAGCAAACAGTGTTGGCTCCATACATACACATTTTGAGAGTAGTACTTTCTCACCCATAGGGAATTAGATCTTCCAAAGCTGGAGGAAAAAGTTTCCTGGCTGTTTGTGCTAGTAAACCCAAACATCTGTCCTTGCTCTCCACTAGGTCGGTTATTTTACATACTTCAGGATTTAATGGGCACTACAATGGCTTAAACTTAAAACTGACACTGCACTGAAGTAAAAAACAACTCCTGCAGTTTACACCAAACTTCCTGGTTGGTTCTTAATGCCTCGGTATGCTTAAAAATAATACTTGTTAAACTGTCTCACAGTGATAAGGTATGGGGAGGTCTGAACTTCACTGTCAAGCCCTCTTGTCACTTTTCATGCTTACCACTGAGTGCAAATCTCCCCTTAGGGACAATAAAGACTCACCGCTCAACAGGAGAGCCTGGCTCAAGGACAGACTCAAGAAGTGTGCCGTTATCCCCATTTGTATGACTGATTGTGTTGAAGACACGAACTTCTTGGACAATGATCATGGATATGATCATGAGCAGGTAATGCTACAGGCTTTCAGACCCACTTTCAACCAAGGCTATTCACAGCAAGTATAATTACTTTCCCTTTTGCCTTTAGAGACAGCCGGATAACACACTGTATGACCTACAGAGGTTCATTTAAAGAATACTGACCATGTTATGTCTTGTCTGGTAGTTTTAATAAGAAACTGTAGCACATTTTATTGAACTTCAGTCATGTCAGAAAAATAACTTGTACTTGTAACCATAAGAAATATTATTGCACGTACGCTGCAAATATGTACCAACTGCAATTTTTTAAATAAAAAATTTAAACTGTGGTGTTGAATACTCAGATGAAAACCCAAACTTGTTTTACTAAGACATGTGATTAGTCAAAAGAAAGACTAAAATTGGAAGTTATCTCTGAACCTGTGTAAAGGGGTTACAAATGAAAAAGCATGGCTGATGAGTGGTTTACAAAATTTGATGAAGGCTTCAAAACATTGTTTCTGTATGTATTTACCACATGTCCTTGTACTTAGAAATGAGGCAGAACTTGGCTTTCCCCCAACTAACAAGTGGTATCATTTTTCTTTATTAAGTGAGGGCAGTATCATCATGTCCACTGTGCTCTTTTCCAGTTCTGTTTATTGCACCACAGTGACAACGTGCTTCTCCTTCTCAGACACCACAGGAATAGTGCCAGGTTTGCTGTGTTTGCGAACATTCCTCTCCCTGGAAAAGAAAGCAGAAAGAGCAGTAAATAACTCAGTCTGCTAGTGAGATTACTCAGGAAAGGATTTCGGTGGGGTTGCTCAGCAAAAGGAGGAGGGACGAAGAGACGGCTGATCTAACACCTACGTCACTGTTCACACTAATGTACCCTGAAAATAATGCATAAAGCACGGATGGCAAATCATTCGCAGTCCAAAACGTTTGTCAGCTGTATCACAATACAGCCAGTAGAAAAAAGAGCTATGAATCACTGGACCACAGGGCCAACTGGGACAATCAATACATCACACAAGCACATGCGTATATAAATCATGAACATGTAAGGTCTTTTGAGACGTCATGGTGGGGCAACCCCATCTGTGAGATTTTCCGTTAGGCTTTTCTGACTGCATTGGTCAGACCTATTCTGGCAGCAGCCTAAGTCATTGCCCCCTCTACATGGACACAGAGGGGACTTCAGGCCATTCATACAGATAAATGATCATGATCAAATCCTATCTCAATGGCTAAATTAGGACTGACAAGAGATTAAAAAAAGTGAATACATACTTCCTACTGCGAGCCTCCTTCATAATCCTCAACTCCTTGGTCTGATGGTAGATGTTCTTGGGTAAATGTCGGTGACGAGCTATGCGTCGGATCTGTGGGTGGTGCTGGAACTTCTCCTTCAGCTTCTGACTATAGTTGGCAGCCTGCCTCTCTCTGGGGGCCAGCTACAGGAAATCAGAGGAAGAGACGATGGCATACAATTAAACATTAAGTTGTAAAGTTGTATTTATGTCTGTAGCACACATGCAAATTCTCTCACTGAGAGCATCTTGGGTTCCCATGGTGACAGAAGTGTTACCTAAGGTGCTTTCTTAAATGTCATGATTCCACTAATGAGCATTTCCAGTTGAAAACTGGAAATCTGAATTGTGTTGCTGATCAGAAGATTCACCAAATGATCTGCTTGTACATGTGCTACTTGAAGACTCTGGCACAAATTTAAAAAGATTTAGTCTGCATTGTACTGGTATTTTGTTAAGTTCTAGGGTATGCTTTTTCATGTCTTAGAATCTTGGCCACTACAGTCAGCACTAACTTAATCGTGACAACATTCTCATTCAAAACTGAATCAATGTCTGTTAAAAAGTGAAGACACCAGCTGAACAACATCCCTCCCTCCCCACCTCTCATAAAAACTATCATCTTGGCTGAGGCTGCCCTCCTCCGAGGCTTTTATTCTAATTAAAAGCAGTGATTTGTCTCAGATTCAATTTGTTGGAGAAGAGCTGTTAGATACTGATCCTGTTGGACTAAATTAATTCCCATGGATACACACATGGCTAACCTGCTAAACACACTGTATCATCTCAACAAGAAGCATATGAGTGAGCAGGAGATGATGCTTTGCTTTGATTCTCTTTGGAGGGATCATATTTAGTGAGACCTACAGAATGGGCAAAGAGGTGCAACTATCAGAAAGCACCTGTATGGGAGATGGAGAAATCACTGGAATCCATCCATTATCAATACCGTTTATCCTAAACAGGGTCAAGGGGGGCTAGAGCTAATCCCAGCTGACACTGGGCGAGAGGCAGGGTACACCCTGGACCGGTTGCCAGTCTATCGCAGGACTGACATGTAGGCAAACAACCACACACCATCACACTCACTCCAGTGGGCAATCAACCTAAGCTGCATGTTCTTGGACTGTGGGAGGAAGTCAGAGTGCTCGGAAAGAGCCCACACAAGCACAGGGAGAGCATGCAAACTCCGCACAGAAAGGCATCAGGTCAGCCCGGGTTCGAACACGGAACCTTCTTACTGTGAAGCGACACCGCTAACCACCATGCCACTGTGCTAATCACTGGAATTTTATTGTTAAAACTCAATAGGTGACTCTACTTTGGTGACCAGGCTACAGCAAGGTGTCTGTAGTAACTGTAATCCAACAAGATAACCAACTTGACCTTTCAGCACTTTGGTCCTAGGTAAAAAAAATAAAAATGGCCTGACATCTGAAGGAAGCAGACAGGACTAGGTGATCATATCATGTGAGGCAGCCACAAACATAGAACACATCAAAAGGTGGTGTGCCACTTGTAAACATAGTGCTTGCTCTTACTATGCCACTGATCTTAGAAAAACAAGACCTGATTATAATCAAACCACAATTATTCTTGCTACATAACCTATTTCATGAGACTGTAAACCCCATAATATAAAGTAAAGCAGCGCTTCTTCATTTGATCAGCAGAGCAGATAGAAACACAATCACATCCATGTAAATCAAATTATTCGGTTGGCTTTCTGGCCTTAAAAAAATGAGCGGTGATATGTCAGTGTCTACAGAACAACGCTGAAACTAAATAGGAGTTAACTGATTCAACATGTTTCAGGTCTTGGACTAAAGTGCCAATGATATGCTGATGCAACGTTCTGACTGACAAAATGAGAGATCAGTCCAGTATGATGCCTTCAAACACAGACAAAGGCTTGAATCAGCATTTTGGGATTTCTTGATAATTAAAGACCCTCTCAGTACAATTTGACTGTTAATGCTTCATTATGTTCAGAGTGGCCCACTTTAAGTGATTGGCTGGTTTAAACTGCTGATAGGAGCAGCCCTTGTCTGATCTGTTTAAGTGCAAGGCTCCCGGATAAATCTTCTCTTACACAGTGACAGTAAAACAAGTGCCAAAAGTGAAGCTGCATTACAAGAATAAGCCAGGGTGAATCCGATTAGGAATGAACGATGGCTGTTGGACATGGCACATGAGATGCCATTCATCTTTATAATTCAGCCACCACTGGGATCTGGGACAGTGGAGCACTTCCCATGCATTTCACAGGAGTGTTATTTGACAGGTGAACACAACATTATGTTAAGGTCATCATTTCTTCTAACAAAGTTCATATTATCAGAGATAAACACAAAGATATTAAAAGTCACTGGAGGTGTACATATGCAGAAAGGGGGACAGTCTCAGTTGGATGTTTTGTTAATGATTTGTCAAACACAAGATTTTGAGTTTTTTGGCTTTAAACTGACACAAGCGCTGCTGTGCCAATTGGTACATTGTACTTATTGAGAGTGATTCTACCCTAAGTCAGCATCCATCAGAGCATTTGGCAACAGTAGTGCTGTAGCTCCTGGCATAGCCACCCCCTGCTGAGTTGGGAGCAGGGTCACAGCTAACTCATCAGTTAATACACTGGAGGGAGATGCACTATGTCTGACAGCAGAGGAAAATACAACTGTTGACTGGTCACAGACATCGAGATGAGGAATTATCAATTAGCAGCGAGCTGTCTTTTTTTTGAAAGAAAGCAGAAATGATATAAGGAAGCCAGGACCCACCACTCCTAATTTCTCAGCTGCGTTGGCTTTCCACAGTCGGATGTTCATTTCATCAGACCCACTCATGATGTACTTGCTGTCTGCCGACCATTTAACACAGATGACATGCTGCATGCGTTTGGTGTGGTACACTTCCCTGAATTTCAAAAAAGAAAGTAAGAAAGTCAGGCAATATAATGAGTTTTTTAGCTATCAGAAAAAAACACTGAAAACAAGCATGTTTACAGGATCAAGTGTTACAATATACAGGCCTACCAATACCCATATTGATCAGGAATAGTATGTTGCTATAACACTCAGAGAGTTAAGAATAATGTGTTCGATTCTGGCAATTAAACCAGTGGCTTACTAAAAAAATAAAACCTGTGTCACTGTGTGCACAAGCCAGAAAAAAAAAAACAGCAAGCCATCTAAATTAAAGGAGAATTCATGTTGTTCGTCCATGCCCTCTAGAAAGACACATACAAAGGTTTTCTGACCCAACACCCCAATCATCTGGACAACTTGGGAATAACTTGGAAAACATCATTAGTCAATTTTTAAAGACAGTTTTGTCAAAGCACCTATGATTTTCATTGCGTTACAGAATCTTTCTCCAAAACAAATCCTGTGTTCTGTTACTAGATCTGAAAAACAGGGGAAAAGCAAAAAGCTACAACACAGACAAACTGGAGGTTGTGAAAAAGCAAGATTTCAGTTTCAAGGCATATTTAAGCTTTATTCTCGCAGGTTTTGTTTCAGTCTTGTTGCTTTAAAAATACACGACGGGTGCTGAAATTTAGCTCCCAGAAACCGTACCCAAGGCAGGTAGAGTACCACTACACCAGGTCAGTGTAGGCTTGTTGGTCTAGGGGTATGATTCTCGCTTAGGGTGCGAGAGAGACCTTTTTCACAGTATCAGGCACCACACAGGAGCAATTAGGTAAGAGAAAATACCAGATGTACGATTGTAATGGATGACACAGAGGCAGAAGAACCTCGGCGGAATCCATTACAATCATAGAACTACACCTGGGAAGGTATCATCCATGCATACAAAATGACACTTGTCAACTGGTTGCTATATGATATTAAAATTAAAAACTAATTGTTTAATTTAACAAACATTTTTTTAAATTGTACTTCAAGACATAGTCCATATATTCACTGGAAATTCCAGTACTTGGTACAGTGTAACAGTTGATAGAGCTTATACAAGGAACTTCAGGGAAACTGTGCCATAAAATTTCAGGTCTGTGTTTTTTCCTTTTTGTTTAAAAAAAATCATTTGTTTTCACTGCAACCTTGTAACTTTTTAGTGTTTAGTTCATGTTTGTCTTCCTTTATTTTCCTTAGCTATTCTTCCATTATCATTTTGTGCCCTCTCTCCTTGAACTTAATGGCTTCAATTTCTTCTCCATTAACAATGTCTTCTAACTCTCCAGAAGTTGAATATTCACAAAGAAGGTTAAACGGAATGTTCAATTCCTCCTTTTCTGAGGTGTTGCAGTGATTTAGAATGGCACACAGAAGCCTATGCCATATGTGTGTGTTTAAACCATGCATTCTTGCTAAATTAACCCACACCTTCCAGCCAAGTAGAATGGTATAATGACATTTAATAACCCAGTATTCCAATCAGGTGAGCAAATTCTAGGCGTTGTCTCTACTGGCTCACTGGCTGTTTGGGACCCTCATTGGCTATTGGTAAACTCATTAGTAATAACACATGTTCTTTACCTGCTATGACAAGTCAAAATGTCTTCTGCTTACAGGATAGTGTTTCAGAATGCTCCTACAACACCACAATATTTACAGTATGTAGCAACTGTAGCTCTCTGTTCTGGAGCTTGACAAATATAGAAACAACACTGCATGTACCATTACATCCTGTAACAACCAAACTTGGCTGTGATATTTGTGGTTGAGAAGGGCAGTCTAAACAATCTGCATCCCCACATTAGCTTTGCCACCTAACAATTATTAGTAACCCTGCCTTTTTCCACAGCAGTCTGACTCATCACTGCAGGAAAAACACAGGTTACCATTTCATTAACTTAGATATTATTAAATTCCTTAAAGAGCAAGACATGACCTGATCAATACATTCTGATTATGACTACAGAATACAATAAATGTGATGAACACTAGAAAAAATGATGAGTACTATCAGCTTCATTTAGAAGAAAACATGTACCACTGACTCTTATGTGACTCATTCCAAAGCACAAAAATGGTACCTGACTCTGGACCAGTAACACTATCACAGTAAACCTTAGAAGCATTTCTAACAGGTGGTCCTGACCTGCTGTGGCCACCATCCTTGAGGAAGATACGGACCGTCTTGTCAAAACTGGCAGATACAAATTCCTTCCCAGTAGGAGAGTAGTCAACATCAAGCACTGCAGAGACATGGTCCATGTGCACTGTGACGGGCCGCTGCAGGTACCTCATGTCATATGTGTAGAGGCTAGTAAGAAACAGATACAATAGTGAACAATCTTCTAGAGACAATATTCATAGGAACCACTAGGTGTGCATTTACATGGAGCCTTTTGTTTCACTTATTATCAAAAAAAGTCAGAATCTACACTCACCAGCCACTTTATTAGGTACACCAGTACAACTGTATGCATGTCAGTGCAACACCTCCTTAACATAGTGTGCTTATATTTTTGTCCTCCCCAGCTATATACGTGAGAGGGTCAGAATATTAGGAACACCTCTAAATATAATGTAGTGCAGTACAACACCACCTTTAACTATGGCCTCAATAATAAACATATAACTGAATTTATACATTCATGACCATTTTGAGCTTCATAAACACAGATGTACAGGTGTACCTAATAAAGTGGCTACTGAAAGTATATTATGTGTACATTTCATTGTAAAATAACACTAGCAAGTGCCCAATGCAGATCCATTTTTGAACATCACTGGCTCTGAAATTTGTTAACATGAGGCCTCAATTACTGCCAATAAACAAACTTAATGGGAGTCATTCTGAACAATGTTATTCAGACTCGAAAAGTAGCTCATGTAACCACAGCTCTATCTGTACTAATCTTAAACTCACTTGTAGTCTTCATTTGAGCATGTGAAATAATAGGCTTCCATGGGGTTCCAGCATAATGTGTTGCTCCTCATTGTCATTATAACCTAAACAAGAAAATAAAAACATTTAGCATATATATTATCATACTTCTCATGATGAAAGGGGATAAAGAAATGGTACTCAACTCAAGCAACTGAACTGTGAAAGTCTACCTTTTTAAGTGGCATCGATTCTCTCATATCATAGAGCACTATGCTTCTGTCAGAAGCACAGCTTCCAAGAAGTTCAGTCTGGAGGAAGATATATCACTAACTTAAAAGATATCAGCAGAATGTCAACTGATAAAAGTCTGGCAATAACCAATTTAATGAGTTTGACCATGGCTAAATTGTTGTGGCCAAAATGTTCTTGACACTATGAGTGTGGTGGATAAATGGTGTCTTACCTCTACAGGGTTGAAGCGGACACAGCTAAAGCTGTCTACGCCCCATGTGAAAGAACGGATTGGGCTACTCCTCTGCTCATCCCAGATGTCCACCTGCTGGCCACATGTTGCAAATACACCATCCTTCTGGTGATGGTCCAGTCCTGTGAATACAGTCTGCAAAGCAGTTCTAACATTGTCAAATCATTATCTTTCACTGATGTATGATGATGTGCTTGATACTAATACTCCACCAGATAGCTCAATGAACATACCTTGCCCAGGATAGTATTAAGGGGCACCTCTTCCTCTCCGTAACCCATCGCTTCCATTTTCCATTGTTTGATTGTTTTGTCATCACCAACCTGTTATAGTCCAGATGTCAAGATATAAAACACAAGCTGTATTAGAGCACAGCTTATTAAAACTCCGGTAGTCCTAACTGTCTTGTCAGATGTTGAATGGCAGCAGTCACCGTAAAAAAGGAAGCTCCACAATATCGGACAACCATTCCCCGGACAAAACCTTCATGTGCTTGGAGTGTGCGGACACATTCATGTTTGGTCAGATTCCACACTTTCACCTAAGGATCAAAGAAAAGTTCCTGTCAATGTCAAGAAAAGTATTAGATGTACAACGTCACCATTCCGGAGGCTTGACACGACTTCACTAGATGAGGTAATGTATTTAGACAGCAGATAGCTACCTCCCCATCGCAGGAGCCAGAGAGCAGGGTGGAAAGGCTCTTGGTATGCTTGGCCATGCAATTCACACCATCCCTGTGACCGTCCAGGGAGGCCAGGAATGGCTTGGCAAACACCCTCTCCAGTTTAGTGGCATTCAGAGCCCGGGTGTACTCTCTAGTCACCTCAAATGGATGAAGTGTTGGGTCATAGTTTCTAGGGACTAAAGGTAGACTTGAGTTACTTATAAATCATATGTCAGAGCATTTAATTTGCATGTATGCCAGATAGGTACTTTTCAACTTGCAGCCACGTTAATATGAAGTTTATTTCCACAGATTATAATCCATGTTAGGATAATCTGTGTTTTTTAAAAAAAGCATATATTTGTGGCAACTCTGCTTTCATTGCAGAGAAAACTATTCCTTTATAGAAATTCATACATATAATTAACTTACTGTTACTCGTTTATATATCTCGTGTGACCCAGAGGACCTAACCGCACACTTAAGGTTAATTTACTGTTTGTATTTAGTAATCTTATATGGGTGCTAATGTTGTAGCTGTTACTTGCATTAGCTTATGTGAAATTTACTCCACGTTTACAAAGGAATTTCTCCAAAGATTAATTTATTGCCATATTGTAAATTTAAACGCTCTGAGTTACATTATTTAATAGACTGTAGTTATGTAGCTGTATGCTACCGTCGTTGTTTTGTGGCTAACATCCTGCTGCGAAGCTGTGTTTAACCTAGCCGAGTCTACTTACCACGCTGAATATCTAGTTTGGTCTCCCGGACATAGTCATCCGGGTTCCTCGAGAGGACTTTAACCTTCATTCTAGAAAAAGAGTGAAACCACTAAAATTAAGCCGAGTTAATTTAACGTTAAGCAAAAAAAAAAAAAAAAAAAAAAATTAGCAAACACTGTTTTGACCACCCATGTGCTCATGAAGAAGTTACTCATTGGAGCCGCGTTGCATTGTGGGATGTCAAGTCCTTTTACGACAAGTAAAAGAAACAACCATCAAGTTGCAAAATTTAGCAAGACAAGTACCAGAAACATATTCAATACTCCAGTCTCATTTGTGCAAAGTGATGAGTTGATGATAAGAACACTGAGGAATTGAGATAAAGTCATTTTCACTCAAGAGGTTTTAGCAAGTAGACATAAGGAAGATTATAATAATAAAGTTAAACACAACATCCCGAAAGAAAGGAGTATCGGAAAAAAATAAAAATAATACACATGTTTCGATAAAGTGTAAAATAATCAAAATATAAAAGGGATAGTTATAAACTATTAGTATAAATAAATAAATAAAAACTCGACACTGAAAGGCCCGAACAGCTGAGGTTCGAAACCCAGACCCTTCTCGCTGTGAGATGATTGTGCTGACCACCGCTCCATCATGCAACCCCCGTTCTAACGTTTGCGCTGTTTCAGTACAGTATGGCGAAATACCGTTGTTCGTTTTTTTTATTAAAAAAAAAAAAAGCTTTTATTTTGAAGGCAATGGCCGGAAGTACGGTTTCTAATTACAGTGCCTTGACATTTATTGAACACAGCAAGGTCGAGTGGTGGTACTGTCGTTCGACTCTTTGGGTAACATTACTACAGTCATGGAGCGACACCCTATGTCAACGGCGTGGTTCACTTACTAACACTCAGTGAAAGTGGGGATGGTTTCAAGAAGTTAGTACAGTCTGTATACCATATTTATATTTTGCAGCAGTGTCAGTGGGTTGTCTGAGTGTTACAGACTGAGTAAGCTTTTAGCATTATCATACTGCGTAATTACAGCTAGCTGACAGGAGCTAGCTAGGTTTATTACCTGTAAACATGGGCTCCTCTCCAAATCACTCCACCATTAACGTTACAGAGACAGGACTGTCTAGTAAACCCCTCCCGGCTGTCTCATTAGCCGGACGTGTGCAGCAGGTCTTCAACCACGTGAGGATGGAAAACCTGCTCGCTGGACTGAGTGGAGGAGTGGTATCAACGCTGGTACTTCACCCACTGGACCTGGTCAAAATAAGGTTTGCAGGTACAGTCTGACAACTTGCTTAACTTATACTAATGACGACTGTCATGGAATGGAAACAAATGCAGAATCAGATATTTAAAAATAGATTTGCTTAATGGTGATGGCGTCATGCTACTATGGCTGAATTTAATTTATTTTAGAAATTGTTGGTGTGTTCAATTTTGGTGACATTACTTAACAAGGGTCTTTGATGTAAATGCAGTAAGTGATGGATTGGAATTAAGACCTAAGTACAGTGGCATACTGCACTGTATGAAGAGTGTTTGGCAGCAGGAGGGACTGAGAGGACTCTACCAAGGAGTGACACCCAATGTCTGGGGTGCTGGAGCATCGTGGGGCCTCTACTTCTTTTTGTGCGTAAGCTATGTTGGCCCACCTCTGTATCATGATTACTTCATTAACAACAGACATTTGACTATTTCATGTGTTATTTCCCACACTGTGTTCCCCACAGTTACAATGCAATCAAAGGGTACACAAAAGAAGGTCGTCAGAATGAGCTGAGCGCTACAGAACACCTGGTGTCTGCGGCAGAAGCAGGTTAGTCCCAACGTGTATCCGCAACCCACATGCTCACACAGTCATCGATGACAGCTAGATAATAGTGCTCTTTGCTGTTGACAGGAGGCAGATGCAAATTAGTACATCACCCCTCTGTTCATGTCAGTCACATGGGTCAATATCCAAAAGTGTTTCAACAGAAAATGTTGTATTTATTAACAGTTATGCACATGTAAAAGTAGCTACTGAATGTACTTACAAAAGTGTCTTGCACATATTATATTATGACCTACCTTCACCTAGGCATCCTAACGCTCACCCTAACCAACCCAATCTGGGTGACCAAGACCCGGCTGGTGCTGCAGTACAATACTGAGCCAACCAGTAAACAGTACAAGGGGATGGTGGATGCACTGGTCAAGATCTACCGCCATGAGGGAGTCCCTGGTCTATACAAGGTTAGACATCATTGTGTTGGACTTGTACTTAATGAGTCAAAGTCAAAGTGTTTATTGTCATATGCACAGTACGGAAACGCTGTGCAATGAAATTCTTACTTTGCCGTCCACATGAATGCCACACAATACATGAAGATACACATGAACTGCTACTTTTAGGCAACAGCAACAAATGGAAAAAAAATTATGTTGTGGACTGTCGGGAGAGGATGATTTGTAATAGTTTATTATAACCAGACTGCCTTTTGTCCTGCTGCACTGTAATACCATTTTGTATTCACTCATTAATGAAAAATTACTTCACCACTAGAGGGCAGTGCAGCTGTACATTGGAGCACTTAAAACCCCATAATGGTTATAATTTAAACAATTGTTGGGGCTGTAGTTTAGCTCCTTTATGTGACTTGTATTAGCCTGGTGTGACAAGTGTCACCAAAGTGCTCAGTGACAGCATGAGAGAAGACAGGGAGGGAGCTACAGACACAATGCAGTGGGCTTTTCTAGTGATATTTAACCCATAATGTGGGTATTTGAGTGTGTCGAGACAGACCAACTTACAGACTGTACTTGTCATAGGGTTATGTTCCTGGTTTGTTTGGTACATCCCATGGAGCACTGCAGTTCATGGCCTATGAAGAGCTCAAGAGATACCACAACAAGTACAAGAAAGTCCCTTCAGATGCAAAGCTGGTGAGTCATTACACCCATGAGCCAGAGACAGACAGACAGGCTGGAAGCATGTCCAGTGCTTTAATTAACACAAGTTTGTAACTTCAGTTTTAATACAACTGAAACCACAGTGGATAGCTAGCAGCTGAAGAAGTGACTAATCAGTTTTCCAACTCCACTCTGCTAATTTCTTCCTCTCTCACTCTCTTTGTCCGTCTCTATAAACAGAATGCACTGGAATATATCACAATGGCAGCATTATCCAAAATATTTGCTGTGATCACAACATACCCATATCAGGTGGTGCGAGCTCGACTGCAAGACCAGCACAACACGTACAGTGGAGTTATTGATGTCATCGTACGAACATGGAGGTATGACACTGATCTACTAACAAAGAACCAAATGTGCTATTGTGGTCTCAGTTTCTGAATCTGGATATTGTGTCCTATTTGATTCATGGCTATGATTTTGTCCTTTTCTCTGCAGGAATGAAGGCGCCATTGGTTTCTACAAAGGCATCATCTCCAATGTGATACGCGTTACTCCCGCCTGCTGCATCACCTTTGTAATTTATGAGAATGTGTCTAGCTTTCTTTTGGGACAAAAGAAATGAGGCTCAGAGGTATGGGGTGGACAACTGCAGGGACTCTGAGCTTGATGCCACACCGGGTTACAAAGAAAAACACGTCAGGCTGAAACTGAACTCTCAGGGCTCCGTACGCAATGTGCTGATGTGACAGGCCTTTTTCTGACCTGAAAATGGGTCAAGCTGTGAAAGAGAACCAAATCAATTCTGGATTGTCAGTGACATGATGAGGTCCTGTCCAATTAATCATGAACTCAGGAGGTAGATTAATTAAATATTTCATCCTATGGGAGTTATGTTTACATCTTATCTTTTCTGGCAGCAGAAAATGATACAGGGGACAAGTTGATTATTGCATGGATGTGTAATAATCAAGTTATTTGGTTATGTTTACAGCAACAATGGAGATGGTCTTTAGTTTTAAGTATGCAAACCTAGTTCTCTGGAAATTCATAATTTGTTGACATTTTATTACAACAAATTGTAACTGAACTGCTTTATAACATTTTGTTATAAAATGCATTATCTGCATTGTATTGTTTGATATGCAATAAGTGTGGCTATATAAAATTAAGTGCAAGGTATTTCAGAGTTCTAAAACAGAAGTGATTATATTCACACCGTTGAGTTAAATTCTTTTTTTTTAAGGATTACTTTATTAACAGTAATAATGAATACAAACAAGTCACATGAGTACATAGTTTAAACATGTCTGCTAAATAGTTGCTTTATTTTAATAGCACCTGGGAGCAGAAAAACTACAGTACAAAGTTTATTTCTAGATAGAATGACAGTATTATTGTTTACACACACGTCAACTAGTATAGAATTTCAACAGCACAAAAACATTCAAGTTACCATCAGTGATCTTGTAATGCCTCAGCAAAACTCATACCATAATTTTGGAGGGCCAGATAACATACTGTTACCCTGCCAGGGCCGGTCCCTCCCTGGCTTGCAACCTTCTTATTTAGGCAGTTCCTCAATGATAATCCTGGACACCGAATTCCACCCCGTAGATGCGTCACCTCTGGGATAGTCAGCGCAGGTCCCCACCCACAAGGCCACATCCACCAGCCCTGCTTTGATGCCCTCACACAGCCCTTCAACTGGATAGGAAAATATAGAAGAACTCTCCTCACAAAAGGCCAAATCACATCCACAGAAGAAACCTCTTAATTGCTTTGGTTTGTGAGACAGTGGCGAGCTTTCCAAATGTAATTGGAGTGGAGTAACTTTAAAGCAAAGTTAGAAAATTGTTGACAAGGCTTTCCAGCATCCACAGCAGTTAAATATTCTCTTAAAGGAACAGTTTGATGCTGGGGAAACAGCTGGCCTGTCCACAGGTAGGAGAACTAAAACTGGGAACAAGAAGTTCCTGAAGGTATTGTGCTGTGCTAAGCTAACCAGCTGCTGCCTCAAAATACAATTTAAAGCTTGCAGTAGCCTATGTATCTTCAAGGGCTCTTGTTAAATAGCAGAAACCCTCACCCCACAATTTTTCAACATTAAAAAGGGGTGGAGCAGGGGTTCAGGTGTTGTGTTCACAGCATTCACACCCATTTACATTGTGACTAGTCAGTAGTGCCAGGGTTTGAACTTATCCCTCAGCTGTCGCTTTCATTTTTTATACTTAATACTTCTTTCACATTTCATAATAACAACCAGGTTCAACACTTTGAATGCAGTTTGAAAATGTCTGCTGTTATTACCCCCCACCCCCCACCTCAGAGGCTTTTCACTCTGCCGTCAAGTGTTAGAGTTTGGAACACCTACTACAGGCTAATAACATTTGATTTCTAACACATCTTACAAACTGCACAACCCAACCACAGCTGCTTCCTGCCAAGAATACCCTGATGCAGCCTGGCCCCACAACAACAGGCAGCTTGTAGTTTTTGCACTTCAGTATTTGTACAAATTAAACAGAGGACTATTTAGCTAAAGCTATATTAACTTAAATAGTAAGCCTCTGTAATGCTGGGAGGCTGATTTGGTCACTTCTGGATAAGGCCAGACTAGCTTTTCCCTCTGTTGCCTGTTTTCGGCTAAGCTAAGCTAACTGACTGCTCAAACTAGCTACATATTTAACATGGCATCATTGTTCTTATCCATCTATTCACAATGCCTTCAGAAGACACTGGGGAAAAATGGTTGGTTCAGGTTATTTATTGCACAACAAAGCCTATGATGTGAGTCTTACCTGTAGACGTTCTGTGGATGTTGATGGTTGAGTTGAGCTCAGGACTTCCTTGATCTAAGTAGATGATTGACTCTATGGGCAGGGGTCCTGTACACTCTGCTCCATTGAAGGTAAAGTACCATCTCTGGCAACAGGCATTCTTACACTTGAGTCTGAGGGAACCGCTGAAGAGGACCCTGAGGGAGCTGTCTGAACGCAGTTTGGTGAATGTACAGTCCTGCACAACACAGAGAAATCATGCTACTAATATGCATTGTGTAGGGTGTTATATGACTGTGTAAAATGCTTGAAATAAACACTCGCATTCCTTAAAAACATATCATTCTTTGCACAAAGATACTTACAACTACTTTACCCAGATCAATCCCATAATTCAGGGAGTTCCAGGCACACTGCTTGTAGTTGGGCCTCCAGGGCTCCTCAAAGATCTCACTCATGCACTCTCCTTTTTCACCTTTGAGCCCATCACGGCCAGGGATGCCTGGCGTCCCTGGAATGCCGTTGGCCCCGGGGTTACCATCTCTGCCAGGGGTGCCTGCTGGCCCCTGCATGCAGCTACCATACTGAAAAAACAAAGAAGAAAGGAAGAGGAGGTGGATGCTGACATAAAGAAGCCCTAGACCAACATGAGCAGAGTCTATTCTTATCAAACTTCCTGTTTCAGATTTTTTTTTTTTGTTTTTTTTTTTTTTTTTCCTAGGGGTTAAGTCTCTGTTTGAGCTGCATGCACCACAAACACCTAAAGGCTGTCATCTATTCCACCACCACACACAAGAAGGCAGATTATCCCTCATTTACAAGTAATACATACAAATATGCTGAAAAAAGTGTAAAAACAGATGTGACCTCAACCAAGGCGAAGCAATAGAAACAGCAACCATGAAACAACCAAATGACAGATCAAGTGTTAAAGAAGAAGTTAAGGCTTGGTGATGGTCTAAATTAGTAGTTGTCTGGCCACACATGTCAGTGTACCCTGCTGAATCTCCTGCTATGTTTAAACAGATGCTGCATCTTACTCAAGCTGACTCAAACACACAGAGACAGACACAGAGACAGGCCAACTTGCCAAAACCCACCACATAGAGAGCTAGACATAATGAAGGTCCAAACAGCTTTGGGTAATGTGCTCTTCAGACACAATCTGACCAGCAGATCGTTAAAAGCTAACAGTTTTAAGTTGGAGTGAGATTTTAATTGTAGTTAGCTGATTTGTACGTGTCAATACTTTAGTCAGGACAGAAATAAACTGACAGTCTAAAGTGTGTTCTCGCCCTTAAACAAACAGCTGATGTTGAACGCATTTGGGTCTGGGTTTTTGTTGGGTCATTGCTGCCCTTTGTGCTCAGCACGTAGCTCTGAAGCAGTTTTAAGAAGCACATAACCAAAAAGGCATAAAAAGAGCTTTTATTACAGTTTCAACATCTTGTCCCAACTTGAGTTTCTGGGGCAAATTACAAAAATGCCTAAACGTTGAGAAACACAGCATTGTAATGTCAGCTTCTGCAGACCATATGGCTGAGAGCCTGTTTTAGCCATTAAGTGACTTTGCTGGATCAACCTGGAGATGTGAGACCTGACATCATCTTTATAGGAAACTGTGATGAAACCAATACATTGTGTGGGTTGGTCATGTGCTGTAACACATCCTGGAATTTGTCCTCAAAAAAAGGGAAAACTCTTCCAAGCACCTTGGCTATTAGGTGGCAACGTGTGGAAACTGACGCAAATGCCGCATAGGTCTATTTGGTTGATATTCAGGAAGGAAAAGTCTCAGTGCTCTAATAAGGGCTGAATATTTGGATGACTTTCACAGCAGAATAATGAATGGAATCTTTGTCCACTGAGCCACACAGCTGACTTTTAGCTTCCAGTGTGCTGTTTCTATAGCATTGCTGTCTGCCTGCATGAGTTACACTCCAGACCTGCTCAGTATTAGCAGCACACAGTCCATTACTGTATTTGAAGAATAAAGGCTGCATTTGCTCCAGCATGCTGAGGAGTCAGTAGTATTTCATGCATTAACAGTGAAGCAAGGACCAAAGTCCTCTTGGCGCATGCAGAGCGCCAGCAGCATGCTTATTGAGAGGTTTAAGGTTCACAGGATTTCAGTAGGATGCAAGAGATGACATTATGATTACCATGTTGTTCATATAAGGAGCTCTTCCTTCTCCAGAGTGTCTAGTGCAGTTGGGCTTTTCTGCATCATTTCCAGTGCACTAGATACAGATGGCAACATAAGAAGCTATTCACTGGAGGATAATGGAGAGCTACAAGCCTACTTGTGGTTCTCCATAAGTGGGGTATGCATAAAATCCACAGAGTCCTGCAAAAATCAACTCTAGTTTCACTTTAATTTTACTCCTAGGAGTTACAGTATAAGATGATCTGTGTCTATTAAGTTCCTTCACTCCCCACCAACAGCAGAATATTACCAAAGCTAATTCTGCATTTATCTGCATAATTGAATTTATACATTTGACAATTTCACCAAAGACTGAAACACTTTGGGCTTCATAAACGCAGACATAAAGCAGAAGTGTTGCATTGAATTGCATACAATTGTACAGGTGTGCCAATACTGTAAAGTACATAGGCAGATAGCAAAGAAATGCAGGCAGACTGCATAAACCAGGCCACAACTTCCTGTTTGGGATTTTCCTTTTCTTTCCCTGTCCAATTAGTCCACTGGAGAGCAGCCAAACCTGGAATAATAAAGAGCCAGCTGACCATATTAATGATGGCTAACAGCATTCCTCATCTGCTGCTGGGACCGGATCACTTCGGTAGTAACTTTGGGGACCACATTCATTGCGCTAGCAGCCACATTTATCAAGTGGATGAATTAGGGGGTATAATTAAATGTCCACATGTGGCCCCTATGAGAAATCACAAAATCTGTCCGCAAAGCATGATTACCGTCTGGAACGCCTCATGTCCACTTTTTAAAACGATCATAGCGGCTGCACGACTATCTTCTCTTACCTTGTCAGCATCAGGATCCTTTCGGTATCCTCTGTTCCTCACCTTTTCCACACCATAAAGAGGTAAAGCCAACATGACAAGAAGCAGCACACGGGCAACGAGAGGCGCCATCGTTCACCAGACAGCGGGCAACTGTGCGCGCTCTGACGGATCTGAGGCGACACATTGACTCCAACTCCGGTATGAGTCCAGAGGAGGCAGGACGAGAGGGAAGGAGCCAGTAAACTTCTAGAATGTGAAAGAAAGAAAGAGAGAACATCCCAACGAGATTCATATGGGCAAATATATATGTGCCAGTTTACCACAAACTGAGTAAATGGTGTCTTTTTATATACTTTCTGAGAAGATTTGGCATGCGCAAGTTATTAGTGGTGCGCAAGTAAAATCTACGACAATTATTCTTGTTATTGACTTGCATAGAAAGACACAGCTACATTTAATGCTTTATTAATCAGATTTTTTTAGCAAAATTAAACTGTATACATACAAAATTATAATGAAAGGTCGGGCTACATAAAAATAATAAAACACAGCATACATAGAGACAGTATGTATAAAACATCTGACAGACTACACTAGGTCTAACCCCTGTTCACATACCACCATAACAATACACAGGAGAAAATTAAATGATAAGGATTCCCTTTTAATGTGGCTCCCATATAAAAGGTACAGAAACAGCTAAACAGACAGTTAAATATGAAAGACATTCAAATAAATCACAGCCGTTTTTCTGGAAATACTTGAATAAGTCCAATGTGGTCCATGACCCATATGTTATAAATAAGCCCTAAACAAATTCTAAAATCCAGTTGTTCATTTGTGTGACAACTCAAAGTTGATTAATGGTTTGTGCTTCTACTGACAAATAGTGTAAAGCCTGTTTTATTTCATTCCTCAGTTTGATCCAAAAATCATATGATGTCACACCTACACCAAGAACACAGACATCACACCTGGGAAACATCTGTAGGTTCTCTGAAGGTGAGGAGCCCTTGACAGAAAGGCACATTCTTTTAGAAAACTACAAAGCTGTACTTTATCAAGTACAGGCCATCTTAACACACAGAGACCAACCTCTGCAGAATAAGGAAGAAAATGAAAGCATATCATTTACGAAAACAAAAAAATATATCAAGTTTAAGAGTTTTTCAGAGGAGAGAAAAGTAGCACACTGTTTAGCGAGACGAGGTTTCAATACATTTTTTCCAGGAAGAACAATAAGACATTCATAAAAAAGTTTACACAGAAAGACTCCCCTTAAGTTGTTTGGCATTATCATGACCTTTCTAACAAAATTCAGTGTAATGATTTATCCAGTCAAAGACTAAAAACAAAATATTTCCAGAAATATTGCATTTGTTTACTTGTGTGCATTCTATGCCTCTAGGCTACCAATCTACAAAGCAGTAGACCCAGTGCATGTTGTAAAATTAAATGACCATTGGTAGTCATACAGCAGGGATGCAGCTGTGCTGCTGCAACATTCAGGTAGGCTCAAAGTTCAGTAAAGCTGAAAGACACAGCTGTTATCACCCCAACTTAATCTAACACCCACAGATCCTGGTCCTACATGCCACACTGAGGTATGTTGCAGTTCACTGACTATAATGTAATCAATACAATCATAAGCTAATGCATTGAGCTTACATCTATATACAGTGAACAAAATTATAAATGCAACACTTTTGTGTTTGCCCCCATTTTTCATGAGCTGAACTCAAAGATCTACGACTTGTTCTATCTACACAAAAGGCCTATTTACCTCAAACATTGTTCACAAATCTGTCTAAATCTGTGTTAGTGAGCACTTCTCCTTTGCCGAGATAATCCATCCACCTCACAGGTGTGGCATATCAAGATGCTGGTTAGACAGCATGATTATTACAGGTGTGCCTTAGGCTGGCCACAATAAAAGGCCACTCTAAAATGTGCCGTTTTATCACACAGCACAATGCCACAGATGTCGCAAGTTTTGAGGGAGCGTGGAATTGGCATGCTGACTGCAGGAATGTCCACCAGAACTGTTGCCTGTGAATTGAATGTTCATTTCTCTACCATTAGCCTTCTCCAAAGGCGTTTCAGAGAATTTGGCAGTACATCCAACCAGCCTCACAACCACAGACCACGTGTAGCCACACCAGCCCAGGACCTCCACATCCAGCATCTTCACCTCCAAGATCATCTGAGACCAGCCATCCGGACAGTTGCTGCAACAATCGGTTTGCATAACCAAAGAATTTCAGCACAAACTGTCAGAAACCGTCTCAGGGAAGCTCATCTACATGCTTGTCATCCTCATCAGGGTCTCGACCTGACTGCAGTTTGTCATCGTAACAGACTTGAGTGGGCAAATGCTCACATTCGATGGGGTCTGGCAGAGGTGTTCTCTTCATGGATGAATCCCGGTTTTCACTGTACAGGGCAGATGGCAGACAGCGTGTAGGGCGTCGTGTGGGTGAGTGGTTTGCTGATGTCAACGTTGTGGATTGTGTGGTCCATGGTGACGGTGAGGTTATGGTATGGGCATATGTTATGGACAACAAACACAGGTGCATTTTATTGATGGCATTTTGAATACACAGAGATACCATGATGAGATCCTGAAGCCCATTGTTGTGCCATTCATCCACGACCATCACCTCATGTTGCAGCATGATAATGCACGGCCCCATGTTGCAAGGACCTCACACAATCCCTGGAAGCTGAAAACATCCCAGTTCTTGCATGGTCAGCATACTCACCGGACATGTCACCACCCATTGAGCATGGTTGGGATGCTCTGGATTGACGTATACGACAGCGTGTTCCAGTTCCTGTGAATATCCAGCAAGTTCGCACAGCCATTGAAGAGGAGTGGACCAACATTCCACAGGCCACAATCGACAACCTATTCAACTCTATGCGAAGGAGATGTGCTGCACTGCATGAGGCAAATGGTGGTCACACCAGATACTGACTGGTTTTCGGACCGCCCCCCCAATACAGTAAAACTGCACATTTTATTGTGCAGTTTTACTGCTAAGGCACACCTGTAATAATTATGCTGTCTAATCAGCATCTTGATATGCCACACCTGTGAGGTGGATGGATTATCTCGGCAAAGGAGAAGTGCTCACTAACACAGATTTAGACAGATTTGTGAACAATGTTTGAGGTAAATAGGCCTTTTGTGTACATAGAACAAGTCATAGATCTTTGAGTTCAGCTCATGAAAAATGGGGGCAAACACAAAAGTGTTGCATTTATAATTTTGTTCACTGTATGATAAGACAAACAAATGGGTATGTCAGTCAGCATCAACTGTGACTGTTTTCTCAGTGGTATCAAGCATGGCTGGATGGATGGTTGGACAGACACAAACTTTAGGGGCAGATATCTTAGCAGTCGCTGCCCTTTGTGTCCTTGCTCTCCTCAGGCACCTGGTGCACCAGCTGGTGGGTGGAGTCTTGGATGCTGCTGCTGTGTGATAGGTTTAAAGCTGGATGTTGCTCTCCACTGGGCAGCTGCTTGGCCTCTGACAGCTCGTTCCTCGGACTCATCCTAAACCAGTCAGAACACACATCAGAGGTTACTGGTGCTTACATGGACAGATGTAGTTCCATATAATGAAAAGCAACACAGCCACATTTTCACAACGAAGAGGAATAAATAAGAGAAGAGATGCAACAGAAATGTCTATTACATCAGCGTACAATAATGCAGGTAGTAAAAATGATACTTTTTTTTTCAAAAACGATAAAAGTTCCAACAACTCTATATAAGGTATCCTCCATCTGTCTCACTGACCTTCCATCTGGGACTCTGTGTGTGCTCTCTGAGCAGCTGCTGATCTTATTGGAGCTACCACCTCTGCTGCGCCTCTCACCCCCCTCCCTCTCTCTGTCCTGCTCCCCCCTCCTGGAGCTTTGACTGGCACGGCCCCTGTCCAGGTGTTCCCTGGCAGAGACCTCAGACAGAGAACCTTGCATGTGGGGTTCATGATTGCCCAGTGCAGAGGTGCCTTGATTAGTAGTGGTGGGAGCAGTGGAGGCATTGGTCATTACAGCGCCTGTGCTCGTGCCCATGGACTTGGAGATGACCTTGAGTTTGTGGGAGCTGGGCTTGTGGTGCTTCTTCTTGTGCTGGACATGGCTGTTGTGCTTGAGGAAGAACTCACAGGACTCCTGGAGCACCCGGCGGCTCTCACTGATGGGACTTGGGGGGGTCACAGAACACACAGTGTTGAGTCAAAGTACAGATTTATTTTTCATGGAAACTGAATCTGAACTGTGACAGGACAAGAGGCTTGGTCTTACTCTCTTTTGCGGGTCCTGTTGAAGAAGTAGGCCCACTCGGAGCATGTCTTTTTGCTGCTGACCCAGAACACTGCAGATATTCCAACTATCAGCGTCATCAGGTATTTCACCAAAAACAAAGAGAGGTCAGGACGGCCGTGCTCTGTTGTCTGAAACAAAGAGGAAAATTCTAATGGAAACAGAATCTACATAAAGTCTGTAAATTAACAAATCCAGTTTTTTTTTTACTTAAGACAAAATTAAGCTGAGCCTGTTTTTCACTTTTACGCTTGTACTTTTTAGATGTTTCTTGAGATTTCTCCTCTTTCTCCAAACCATTATCACAGAGTGTGATAGTAAACAATCCCTTATGTATACACATTTCATTTTTTCATTTTCACTTCTGATATGTCTCCTGCCTAAACTTGAGCCACAGCTTCAGTACCTTGTAGGAACAGGGGATGCTGTACTCCTGACAGCGGTCATTGATCCAGGTGTTCTCCCAGGTGGTGCGATGACTTTGTTCGTAGGTATAGCAGGCTAACAGGGTGACCAGCGGAAGCAGGTAAAGGCAGCTGAACACTCCGATGCGGATCATGAACTTCTTCAGCTTCTCCTGGTTGCGCTCATCGTGTTGAATGACCTGCCGGACGTGGTTGAGAGAAACGATGCCTGCCAGGAGGAGGAAGAGGCCAACTATGACACCCACACACAGAGGAGCCAGAACAAAGTAGCGCAAGGCATCCAGGTCATAGAGTCCCACAAAGCAAACACCGCTGATGTTGTCCCCTTCAACCTTGTTCAGAGCGAGCAGCATGACAGTTAGTGCCCCGGGGATTCCCCAGGCCGCAGAGTGAAACCACACCTAGAGAAAAAACACAAGGAAGAATATTTCACCATTATCCTGGCTGCTAATAGTTTGCAATTGTTCATTTCTTGGCTGCATTCTCTTCTCTTTTGCTACAAAACCTTACCGCTTTTTTCTCTATGGCCTCACAGCTCCACTTGGGTCCAGCTGCCAGGAACCAGGTGATAGTGAGTATGACCCACCAGACAATACCAGCAATGGAGAAGAAGTAGAGGAGCATAAAAAGCACAGTACAGCCTTTGCTCTGTGAGCCAAGCACCACTGTGGTCACACCTGTAGGATGGGAGGCTTTGGTGCAGGCTGCATTGTTTCCCAGAAGGAAACCAATGAAGTATATGAGTGAGACAAAGCTGTAGCAGACTGCGTAGAAGATTATGGGGCGCTCGGGGTAGCGGAAACGTTTGACGTCAATGAGGAAAGTGAGGAAAGTGAAAAGGGTGGCTCCCAAGCAGATGATGGAGCACACGCCGATGAAGCTCTTGGCAAATTCAATGTCATGGGGCTTGAAGTACATGTTAGAGCAAGGTGGAGCACAGTCCTCGGCACCCAGGAATGACGATCCATGGCCCGGCTTGGTCTTTAGCTGCAGAGGGCACCAGAAGCCCAGGTCCCTCTTAACTGATGAGGAGAAGATTGGTGTGGTTGCAGGAAGCACAGAACCATCCGGGGAGCTACATGGGTCCAATCTCAAGGAAAGAATAATAACAGGATAATGAGTGATCAGGAGTTATTAGTATTTCTCTAATGGACTGTCTCAATGAATTTCAAGTGAGGTTTTCTTACTTCTCGCACTGTAGCTCGGGAGGCCAGGTGATACCAAAGATTTGGATATTCTCCTTGCAGTCGGTCAGGACAGCCTCACACTTCTCTCGGCACGGGCGGATAACCATATTCTCCTCAGTGCATTCTGGAATAAAGGCTTGGCACAAGAAGTGGTGGACGGCTGGAGAACAGCGCAGGTTTGCCAGGGGCATGAATGGCTGGGGATGGAGAGAAGAGTTAAGTAATAATCACATTGATTTTGTCTATTTGAGAAGGCCTGATCCAAGTTTATCTGAAAAATACATGAACTTTCTCAGTATATTTCAACTCAAATGGAAATTGTGCCGCTCACAACTGTCTTTTCATCATCTCCCTGAGAAGTAAATCAAATTGTGAACGACCAGTGTGTTTGTGTCTTTTTATTGCCGGGTTCGCTTTGTGGTGCAGAATAAAACATTGCTATCAGACATCTGTTTTAGTTAGATTCAAATGCAATGAGGACAAATTGTCAGCAAAATATAACAGAACATGAAATCACTTTTATGAAGATTTGTCACATCCTTAAATTGTTGTTAGCGACCAATGAGACAATAACATTTTTTTCTTTAAGTATAACTACTTATGTGAAATTCGAAATAAGAATCTAAAAAAAAAAAAATCTGATGCTATTTATGTCAATATCTGTTTTTGGATGTTTGTTCTTTCAGACAAAAGGTGGAACGCCTGGTAAAGGACTGTGTGAGACTAAAAGATGTTTTCTAAGGCGTTACCTCTACATTTTAGAAGTATGTCAAATTGATCAAATTTTTATTCTGGTGGTATAATAAGCTCAAGTAATTCTAGGAGAGACAGTCTGGGCAAAGCTCTTTAGAATTGTCCTTTCATTGGGAACTTTGTAAGGAAAACAAAGATACACCTTGTGAGTCTGAGGACTTTTCATTATACAAAAAGACATATTTTAAGACTGTCACATCCTCTGTAACAGAAACTGGATGTAATTATTGTATGTATGTATGCAACTTTCATAACTTGAGTAGTTTGCAAAGACTGATGCTCTACAGGAGTGATTCCCACCTTAGGGCCAGGAACCCCTCAAGTGACTGTGAGAAAAATTACAGGGGGCAGGCGCTAGCCCCCATTTGTGTCCTAAGGAAGATTACAAACCTATGAAAATAACCATGAAGGTACAAGCCACCGCTAGATAACTGGCAAAGAAAAACATCACAACTGTACACATTTGATACATAATGTAATGTATAGAGTACTGAGGTCATAAACAGGAGTAATGGGTAGTGAGACAATTAACAGCATAGCAACATAAGCACGAACTTTTATACTACATAGAATGATATTTATTCTTTAGACACTTCCCAAATATTTGCTTTTTTGTGAAGAACTGGATGATTTGACCTCTTAAGGACAAAACAGGAGAAACTAATCATACTTTGCTTGACCTGGTCCTAAATCCTAGACATATAAAACTGGTGATAAACAGCCACAAATCAACTTTGCTTTATTCACGCAAGTCAAAAAAGTCGAGAATCACTACTGTTCATACAGTATTAACTTCATTTTTTTAGCTGCAGCGCTCTACAGTGTAACACCGCACAAAGGGGCCCATTCACAAGCTGGAAACCATATTCTTCCGTTTCAACACACCAGTCAAGAGCTTGAGGACCGAGAAGGTGGAGGGGGATGGCAGGAAATGAGTGTACAGAAACACACAACGTCAAGCCAAAAAGGCTGGAATGCACAGGGTTGTTGATAGGTTAAGCTGCTGAGGAGCCACAGTGTCAACATCTCTACAGCATGCGTGGACACAGTGGGTTACACAGCTTATGGCGAAGGCAACTTCAGTCCATTTGGATAAATCCAGATCATGTCCCTGCTGTTCTTTCTGTATCTTTGGAGTCTGAGTAAACGTACAGTCTATAGACGAGCAAAGGCTCCAGCAGTGCTGCTGATAAACCGGCTACATCTCAGGAATACGCCCAGAACTGCTCTGTTCTAACCATGTAGACATTAACGAGTAGCTGGGACTCGTGGTCTGAACCTGATACGATCATTATCAGACATTCATGTACGATGTACTGATATCAGTCTGTACTGCCACTATTTGTACACAAAACACACACATACACTGCAACATAGTTCACTATTCAGTGTTTATTCTTTTCTCCTGACATTCATTTTGGCAGTAGACCCATGTCTCTGGGGCTTGCTCCCTCACAGTACCATCCTTGTTTCTCTTTGGTGGAGGTCATGGAATCCCTGTCAATGACCTCCCCGTTGCTCAACAATCTGACCTCTATTTGCTTTACGCATTACAGTAAAAACTGCCCTCACTTCAGAAACCTTCAACCAGGTTCAGCAGTACAAGCTGAGCTGATCTGGTTTTAAAGTCAACTCCTCTTCAGGGAATTTCATAGCAAAGTACTTAAGGACCAAATCACTTGAAAGAGACGCTCACTTTTTGAAACTTTTACTCAAACTTTTAAGACTATTGAGTGTTTTGGGTGTGCCAGAGTACACCAGTTAGTCTTTCCATTCCCTATTCCAACACTTCAACCTTTTCTGCTTTCAATGCTGGCAAACACTGGTGAAAACTGGGACCGAGGGTGGAAAAAAGGTTAGCCCTCCTCCGGAAAATCCTACTGATAGGCTGGACTGACCTCAGTGTGAAGCAGAAACATGCTTGATCACAGGGCCTGGTGATAAATCACTGCACCCTTTCAAAGAGCTATGTATAGTATGTAGTGTTGAATGTGGGCCAGAGAGTGTAAGTCTGCCACCTGGGAGACAGCACAGTGGAGGTGAGACTGTGTACAGGGGGGACCAGAGTGACGGATTAACAGAGGGAGAATACTCTTCGTGGTATGCAGGGTAGGCTTTGTGTTAAACTGGGTGTGTCCTTCCCTCCCTCCAGAAATCAAAGCCTCTTCATCGTTGAAGTTGCCTGTGGCCAATGTCACTGTGAAATAAGAAGCCTATACCTTTGCCAGATACCACACAAAAGACTCCTGACACCCAATGTGTGTAACTGAAACTCTGGCCTTCAGGAATGTCAGGACCCAGGATGCAACTACTACAGAGTCTGAGTTCACTGCTGAGGAGAGGCACAAGACAACAATCCTTTTTGTCTAATGGCACATTAAACACAGTGTTGTAGCCATCTATAGGTAAGACAACACAGAGAATATAAGAAGAGAGAGAGATAACTCATATGCCACAATTTGACATTACACTAGAACAATGCTGTAACTGAAGTAACAGAAGACAAGATTTCTACTAAATCAAACGCAGTGATCTAAACACATATCAAGCTGAAATTTGAACTTTCCTCACTTGTTGAGTAAGGAAATATTGACTATGATGGCACTGCAGCTATTGTGCACATATTTGTCCTGGTGACCTGAAGGAGACTACAGATCTGTCTGGGCCAGTCCATGAAAACTAGACCTTCTCAACAAAGTCGTTGAAGTTGCCTGTGGCCAATGTCACTGTGAAATAAGAAGCCTATACCTTTGCCAGATACCACACAAAAGACTCCTGACACCCAATGTGTGTAACTGAAACTCTGGCCTTCAGGAATGTCAGGACCCAGGATGCAACTACTACAGAGTCTGAGTTCACTGCTGAGGAGAGGCACAAGACAACAATCCTTTTTGTCTAATGGCACATTAAACACAGTGTTGTAGCCATCTATATGTAAGACAACACAGAGAATATAAGAAGAGAAAGAGATAACTCATATGCCACAATTTGACATTACACTAGAACAATGCTGTAACTGAAGTAACAGAAGACAAGATTTCTACTAAATCAAACGCAGTGATCTAAACACATATCAAGCTGAAATTTGAACTTTCCTCACTTGTTGAGTAAGGAAATATTGATGGCACTGCAGCTATTGTGCACATTTGTCACTTTTCTAAAACAGGATAAATCCATTGTTGTACAGGTTTGTGGGTGGGCGTTTTCCATGGCAGCTGCTGAGCCCTGTACAGCCTACAAGCTGTGAGAGTGTAGATGATGGAGCACATATAAACTCCCATTTTTGCCCTTTTTCAGCAAGTACACATAGCATTGATTGTGTATCAGTAGCAATTTAAGAACTCTGTCCCTTTACAACATTAGTTCTATGGGCTTCCATGTTATTTCAGCACCTGCTGTGTCACTGGCACCTTCTGTGTCCTAAGGCTGTGTCCACCCTGCCTTGTAAGATAGAGGGTTGTCTAACACTGTGGCTAGACAACCCTCTAGCAGCCAAAAGCAGTAGCTATTAGAATTTAGGCGATATGAACAAATATTTTGGTGCCCCCCCTACACAGATAATGCACCAGTCAAATTGCAATATCAGCACTGTCAGTTGTACATAAAAATGTACATGCTGGGAGGAACACTGATGTAGCGGCTGCTGTCACAGGAGAGAAATACATTTAAGGTCAAATTTTTCTTTTTCACAATTTGTAAAAACGTTCTGACAAGTCAAAACAAACACCAAGGAGCTAATGTGCAAAACCTCCTAGAGCAGACTGAACTTGAATTATTGTTATAAGAAATGTCTCCTCAAATAAACTGTGCCTTCATTTCATGGATAATCCTTTTGTTTTATTGTGAGATAAAATGAGCTGCACAGAAAACTACTTACAGAGTATACAAAACAACTTTCAGATCTAAGTGTAACTGCTGCCTTGTACTTAACGTACGCTTTTCTACCCCGTGTTGTCACAGTATGGTCAGTAAATCAGCCCTGCCTGCCACCTAGTGAAGGTAATAAGACTGTAATTTCATAGTAATATTAGTGTTTTGTATCATATTAGCAGTAACTAGAGTGCTCTACTGGACTGACAAATGTGCTCATTAGTCAGCTAACACTAGCTTCAGATTGGAGGCTACATTTTGTACAGTTTCTCACAACCAGGCATCCATAGTTAACGCTATTCCCTGGAAACAGGATGGGAGAGGCACAGAGCCCTTAGTAGCAGCTTATGGTGTTGGTTTGTTCTGAGTCTCGCTAGACCCTGCAGCAGGCAAAGATAAATTAGCTAGAGTAGCTTTAATGTGCAGCTCCAATAGGAAGATACTCCTTCTTCAACAATTCCTCTCTGAATTTCAATGTGTCAGTGATTTAGTTTTTAAAATCCATTATTTATGACTGAGAATTCAAGGTGAGATTCATAGTTATCCTGTTCACAGCAACTGATGTTCAGCAGTGCTCTCTACCAGGCATGGTTTGGTTCGTGATTTGTTTGTGCCTGTTGATGACCATTACAAAACATTACGTAATTAGGGTTTAATCAATATACACTTCTGAGGGCTAACAGATGCTGACATTTACAGACTGGGGCCATGACTAGCACTAATGATAGCACTAATAATGGCAGTCATTCTGAGATGATATTCATTACCTTTAAGTGTGACCTGAATTATATTTGTTATTTACAAGCACAGGAACCTTTTTGCTATCACAGACCAATGTAAATACAACTCTCCATGAAAACCCAGACTAATGAGGGGAAGGGTCAGCAGCTGTTAAACCCCTTAATGTAAAGTTTCCCCCTTAAAGTTGGAAAAGCATCTTATATTAAAAACACCAGACAGAATAACAGATACATACTCTGTATCACATCCGGTTCATCATTGTAACTATAAATTTCAGTGGAATTCAGTGGATTGAATATGTTCTCTGAAACTTTGAGATCGCCACCTGAATTTAAAATAAAGTTCTGTAGGTTGGAACCATGTTTGGTGTTTAGCCAAATACGGTTCATACCCACACAGCATGGGTTTTTAGTGACTGGCTCACCTAATGCCACAATTAAAAGAGCTCACCTCCATATTACTTGCTGCAATGTCCTGATCATAGTGCTCCATCATGTTGGGAAAGAAGGTCATGTTGTAGGGCATCCCCAAGCACCGGTGCACTTTGATTGGCTCACAGGTAAACTGGCTGTGGGCGCTGCAGGTACCCACCCACAGCAGAAGTAGGCACACCCACAGTGGGCCTGGCATCAGCATTGCAAAGGCTGATCTGGAGTGTGAGAATCTGTTTCTGTGTAAACCAGAACAGGTTTCTTTGTGGCTCAGTGTGAGGATATCCTGGTGAAAATGTAGAATTCTCGTGAATCACGATGTTATCCACATTTCACTCCCTCTGGGGACATCTCAGTAGAGCAGGTGGCCGTTGCCACAGATAAAACTTTCCCATCAGCCCCCTGTGTGGCCAGCAACTTCTGGGTCACAGAGAAGAGTCCCCCATCCCTGAAACAAAAGTAATTGCACTATATTTCAGCTGCACAAGGACTGAGAGGTTTGTTTTAGACCACAACCCACATTTTATGAAGATATGCCTTCAGGAATCCCAACTGAGAATATGTTTGAAGTTGGTTATCACCTTATTTACTACAGAATTGCAGAGTACAAACAGATTGTAGCTCTATCATCTAAACAGGTCATCATACGGCCTCTAATTGTACCTAAAGAATGAAACATAACTATTCCTCATTTTTCCTGTGCATGCACTCCTACAGATCCCTTGAAGGCTCCAGTTTTGGAAGCACTGTTTAGAGATGTGTCAGGCAGATGGAATTATCCAGTCAATTCCTTTTACAGACTTTAAGTGCATACATTTACACAGGGTGGGGAATGATAAAGATCCAGGCTGACTCAGAAATGAGTCTCAGCTTGTTGATGCACATTAAACACTACATTAAAGTGTCAGAGTTTCACATACACACATGCATAAGCAACTAAGAATCATGAATACCCAAGAGAATGTAATGTTTTCCCAGTGAAAAGCAAAGTACCAACAGGTCTAGCCTAGGTTTCTACAGAGCCTTATATACTGTAGAACTAGAGTTGGATATTAAGGATGGTTATATTTTGTATACTTACACCCGCACATGTGTATTACAACTATCAGTTATTTGGAATGTTGTTTGCTTAAGGATTTGAACTTTTAACAATACACAGATAGATAACAAATAGATAATAGTTGCTAATCTGGGTGTTTGAACTCCTGATCATTGTACTGTTATCACTGTGGTGAGAGATTACTCAGTGATACCACAACACGGTTTATATATACAGTGACCACTTTCAACAATCTCCATAGTCCACGGCCTGTAGGTTCCCAGAGCTGCACTGAAATAATAGTGGAAACAGGGGAAGCAAAGTTTGGTTGGGTAGCAGCATGAAATCTTCAGCTAGCAAATTAGCAACAATGATAAAAAGGTTAACGCAACAAACAGGCCTAACTACTCAACACGCACCACAGGAACACCTGTGCAGATTAGTAAAAACGTCATTATCAGCTTTATTTAACACCACCAGTACAAAGCATATCCTAAAGCTAAATACTTTTCACAATATGTGAGTTTTCCGTGGACAGGAAAGCCATTGACCCATGAATTCGACACCACCTGCGGGGAGAGTGCACAATAAACCTCCCTGCCTCGGTCGCTGTCACAGGACGGGGGCCGAAGCAACTTCGATAGCAAAAAGAAAGCCATAAAGAGGAGAAAACTCAACACAGAGACTTACCCAAACTGCCCAGCAGTTCATGTACAATCTAACAACAGGAATACCCGTCGGAACAACAGCTGGGAACAGCACAGTGTTTCCTTCGGGGAGCTCCAGTCCGGTCCCTCTGTTTTTCTAGTGAGGCTGAAATGAAGCTGCTTTCAGGAAAAATTGGAGATCTGACAATGTTATTAACTCTTATGAACCGATAATAAGCGTGTTTGTTACACGATAGGCGCAGTGTTAGCCCAAATTATTTAGTTGAGACAGAATTTGCTGTTGAAATTTTTTTCCCTGTGCATTTTGGAACATAAAATATGTGAACAATAGAAAGATAAATATAAGAGTGTTGCATTTTAATTGTTAAACCAAGAACAAAAAAGACATAACATTTGACATGTTGTGTACGTACATGTTTTCCAGTTTCATCTTACTAATCTAAGTCGATACAGATAGTAACCAGTGCAAAGGCAGCTGTTATAAACCGAACGCACTTGATGCCTGCCAAAAGAGCTGACGGAGAGCATTTGAATGCAGCATGTCTGCAGATGGCCGATAAATAATGGGACTGTCCCATACGACGAGTGAAGCGTCTGGATGTGTGCATCTAACATTGGCGGTATCGGAGTGATTTCAAGGTTTATTTAAGAAAACCAATTTGTATATTAATATGGAAATTGTTAAAACAAAATTAGTATTTTTTGCTAAGCTCACATCAACAGTTGATATCGCGTTTTCGTGGAAAGCTCTCTCCTGGTGTTTGTCAAATACCGTCAGATGAAAGTCAGATTCTTTAGTTTAGTTCGGAAAGGACTAAAACCAAGTAATGACTTCACGGACTACTTAACGAATATTAAAACAACGGCAGGCGGGTAGTATTGTCAATATTCAGTTGGAAAATAAAAATATTTTAGCCATTACAAACTGCTGCTCACACATTAAATGTCCCTGCATTTGTAGTAGG